TCAATTATGCAACCCTTTTCGATCAGGAGATATTAATTAGATCAAGTTAAGCTTATCTCCTTCACATGCATCCCACATGCTCGAATCTGCTTGTGTCTATACACACAAGGGATGGACCTAGTTAATTCTTGAGCTTCCTTTGTCAATCTTCAAAACTAACCTTCACTTGGGTCAACAATAGTCTAAAATCCTCAAATTTTACCTTAAATTCACATAAACTAAATGTAATAATCTATGGGCAATCAATATCTATCATCAAAATTGAATCAACTTCACTTACGTCTTTAATTGTAGAAAAAAGACTCAAAATTGCCTCCAACCGAGTTCCACAATGCCAAATAATGAAAAATAGCTTACACCTTCAATTATAAAAGTTTCCTACTGATTCTGTATTTGCAGTCATTTAACCACTTCTGCGGTCCAAATATCGCATATGCGATCCACCCCTCAATATTGACCTTCCGCTTCTGCGGCTCAGTATGCACACCTACGCTTCCGCTTCTGCGGACAGTGCACCGCACATGTGGTCCATTCTCATCCAGCCCAAATATGTTTCTGCGGAGAAGTCCCCGCTCCTACGATTGCACATCTGCGCTCGCATGTCCGCACCTGCGGACCCAGCCTTCCCTAGTCAATCATAACATCTGCTCCAACCAGTCATTTATGCGGCGTTGCACTTGCAGCCTGACCATGGCAGGTGCGAAAATACCAGAACTTAGCCTTCAGCAATCCAACCAAGTCTCAAAATGACTTGCAATCAATCAGAACCACATCCGAGGCCCCCAAGACCCCGTTTAATCGCATCAACCAATCCCAAAATATAGCGCAAACCTACTCGAAGCCTCTAATAACATAAAACAATATCAAAACCACGAATCGCACCACAATTCAAGCCTAATGATCTAATCCACGTTTCCAAATTCAAAACTTACACCGAACGAGCATAAACAACTCCGAATGACCTCCAATTTTTCATGCAAGTCCCAAATGACATAACAGACCTATACTAACTCCCAGAACCACAATCTAAATCCGATATAAAAAAAGTCAACCTTCGATCAAACTTATCAACCTTCCAAATCTTCAACTTTGCAACTATAGCTAATTCAACCCAAAACAACCTAGGAACCTTCAATTCCAAATTCGGACATACGTCTAAGTCCGAAATCACTATACGAATCTGTTCGAGCCATCAAAATACCATTCCGGAGTTGTCTACACAAAAGCCAAACTCCGATCAACTCTTTCAACTTATGCTCCAACCAATGGGCTAAGTGTCTCAAATCAATCAAAAACTCTCCCGAAACCAAACCAATCACCCAGACAAGTAACGTAACCATAAATACACAAATGTAAAGCATCAAATAGGAAAAATAAGGCTAGAATACTAAAAATGACTGGCCGGATCGTTACATTTAGTTCACGTGCTTTTACTTAAAAAGAGTTTTCATTTACTTTCTGAAATCCTTATTTAATCCATCCTTCCTAACAACAATAAAAAAATAAATAATAAGAGGAAAAAATTAGTACTCACTCAGTTTATTTTTATTTGTCCACTCTATTAAAAATATATTTTTATTTTTACTTGTCCGTTTTAGCAAACCAAGAGAAAGACAATTTTTTTTCTTGTTTTACCCTTATCATTAATTACCCATCTCCAAATTATTTCTCAAGACTCTTTGAAATGCCTATCATTATGAGGGGTTATACGATAAAATATATATATACTACAATTGTTATTTCTTAAGGGATATAAAAAGTCTAAAGTGTACAACTAAAGGTGAACGGAGAGAGTAAACAAGAAAACGGGAAGTTTAGCAAATACCCATGAGGCGAAAAATATTTACCCGCCCCTCCCCATTACATTTTCCCCTATCCATTATTTTTAATACCCAGCCAAATAAAGCCAATTTAAGTCAAACCAAACCAAACCAAGCCAAGCCAAGCCAATTCAAGCGAAGCCAAATAAAGCTAAGCCAAATAAAGCCAAGCCAAATCAAGCTAAGCTAAGCCAAATGAGTAAAAAAAATTGAGATGAGTGAGTAGGTCGAGGTTATTAATTTTAATTGGATATGCATATATGTGAATAATTTTCAATTGAGTAGAAAAAATAATTAATTTAAACTAAATGGTTAATTTGCATAAATTGCTCCTAACAAAACTGGGAGAGGAATTTGCGGGGACATATTGTCTTACATCGACTTAAAGCTTTGACATTCTCCGCAATATAAGCATGAGCTCAAAAACTAGTATGCGAACCGTGATGGGCATTAATTGATAGTGTGCTTTCCTTTGTGATGTAATAAAATTATAGGTAGGATTAAAGCATATTAAAAAGTTAGGTGGTTGGTACGTTTAGCAGAATAATTGTTAATTTAGTAACATGAAAAATGTTGTTGGTGCAATTACATCTAGTCAATGGGTGGTGGTATATACCTACATGAAATACAAAAATTATATATATGGAGGGTTGCCTTAAAAATAATAATTTTGATAATAAAGATACTACTCCTACTAATTTTAATTTTTTGTCCAAAAGTTCCTACATATTTACTTGGGAATTTTATAGGAATTTACTTGCAGGTATTTTCATATGAAAATCCGAAAGAAAATTTTCTTTTCATGAATTTTATCAGAAGGTTTTGTACGAATTTTTAAAATTTCTTACGAAAATATTCTCAGATAATTTATATGCGGGTCCAAAATTCCCAAGTAACTTACCAGAAAATTTTATATTCCGAAGATAATAATTACCTATCAAAGCTTTTTCATCAAATTTTTGTCGAAAGGAAAATTCGTAGGAAACTAAATTATCTGAGAATGTTCCTATATAATCGCCAGGAAAATCTCCATGTAATTCATGATTTTCTTGTAGTGTCTCTATAAACACATACATACATGATAGAAACTATATACATATATAGTTTAATTATAATAAATAATTAATTAAGAAATAACCTTGGAATGAGAATCCTTGTTTAATTTAACCTCCGGGATGACCTATGCTTTCTTGTTTGATTTAGCAACGCCATCCATCTTACTCTTCCTTTGTTGCTTTCAAGAGACTTATTTTCTTTCTTGAAAGTTGTCATCATTAAATTTAATTTCCTTACCCTTCCTTTTAGCAACTGAACCTTCGGAAATTGCTATATTTTGCCTATCATACTCCATTCTAGTCCTGTTCTCGGCCCTAAATTCACGGGGCGTAGAAGGCAAAATTTTCTCAGTTGCAACAACTCTAGATTTTAACATTTTGTTCGGCTCCTCTTTGGTAAAAGCACCTAGATGATTTCACGATATTTCTCAAGGGTTTTCTTTGCTGAAATTCTCCTACCCATTATTACTGCAAAATTAGAAAATTAAAGTTTAGATGAACAAAATCTTCACAATACGATACTATTTTTACTTCGATACTGCTGAAATCGCTTAAGAGCAAAAGAAATGCTAACATTTAAGAGAGAAAATCGGCTAAAATTTTTATAGAGAGGGAAGGGGTTTTAAAACTTTTTTAAATTGAGAAGAGTATAACTAACAAGATTAGTGAGGTGGAGAGTTAAGCTGATAGACGTAGGGGAGGGTGGATAAGAAGCTTATGGAGTACACAACTATTACATATTTTAAGGCCTATAATTACGGGATCTTATTTTTTAAAGAATTTGAATATAAACTATAAATATAAATATATTACTATATATTTCAGACAGAACCTCTATAAAAATGATAAATAAGTTCACGGTTGAGTATTATCTACATAAAATTCTAATATTAAGTAGGCATGAGGTCCCGTGCGACCTCCTCTAAAATAAGCCCACTAGCAATCTAAATCACTTGCTGTTGTTGGTGTTTAGAACTGAATTAATTGACAACAGAAGCCTTAGATACAAGTACAACTTACATACCTGGTTTTGATTAAAAAGTTAAATGTCCTTATCAAAGGTAAAACTTACATAAGTTACACGTCATCAATGACACATTTAAACAATATTTATATGAAATTAAAAAAATAAAACAAAGAATATATGAAATTAAAAATAATATTTATAAATTGAAATTTGCATGTAAGTATAAACTTCACTTTAAAAAAATATATTTGTGAAACAAAATATTATTTAACCAAATACTTTTAGGACAAGCTTTTTAATTTTTTAAATACAAAATTTAAATTTATGTGTATATATTAATAGACGAACTAAGTACTTTGTTTCAGTTTATGTATCTAATTCACTTTTAAAGTCAGATAAAAAGAATCGCTTTCTATATTTAATAACTCTTTAATTTCAAGATTTCACATGACATTTTTTAAAACCATAAAATTCACATAACATTTTGGTACTTAAAATCTAGGGAGTACTTGGGTCAAAATACTATCTACATACTTAATCTTTGTGGAAATCCCTATAATCCCACAAAACTTTTTTTTTTCTTCTATTCTTCTCTTCTCTTATTTGAGCAAGTGGCATTCCCCCCATTTTGCTGCTAATCTTCTTCCTCACTCTCACACGCACAAAATACTCTCAAGAAAATGTTACTCTAAACCCATATTTGTAGAGAAAATCATAATATTGCATAACAGAAAAACCTTCTCCTCGCCGACAATAATGGAATCCTTGATGTTCCAAATCGAAACGACTACAACTTGTCTATTTTGTTCGCACAACTCCATCGGGTAAAGTGT